CTCGTCATGCCATATATATGTAAATGTAATATGGCCCGGTTGAAAAAAAAGTAATACTGATTAATTGAAATATAACATTTGAATTGTGAACGTAAAAAAAAATAGAAATAATTACCGACAGTTAAACCGGGTGAAAAAGGACTGCATAATCCACAAAAAATGAATAATAATAATAATAATAATAATAATAATAATAATAATAATAATAATAATAATAATAATAATAATAATAATAATAATAATAATAATAATAATAATAATAATAATAAAAAAAAAAAAAAATAATAATAATAATAATAAATAAATAAATAAATAATTTATTTATGTAAGATGTGGTTGTTAAAATACCAAAGTTAGAGGAGGTAGATGCAAATTACTATATTATGTTCAAAATTAGTGGATGAAGGGGGTGTATATGACAAAAAGTTAAATGTTTGGGGTGTATTTGTTAAAAGATCAAAATTTAGGAGAGATGGATGCAAATTACCCTATACAGTAGAACCTCAATTAAATAATAGTTTTTCCGGTCCCAAATCGGTAAAACCCTACTAAATTATTAGTTCGATAATTTAATATTTCGCTAAATTAATAGAATTTTATATATATATATATATATATATATATATATTCAGGCTTGTGCAACTTGAATACCATGATTTAATTAACACACATGCATCTTTCCCAAAATTCCCATTTTATTATTCACTTTAGGCCTCAAAATTACTTCATCTAAAATCGATTTGCATGCGTGGCAGATGTGTTTGACAGTTTCAAGAACAAGACGGGCGACTTTAAAGCGAGTCTCAACGATGATACTAAAGGATTGCTACAACTGTACGAAGCTTCTTTTCTTCTGACAAAAGGCGAAACAACATTGGAGCTCGCAAGAGAATTTTCCGCTAATTTACTGCGCAAAAAACTCAACGATGATCGAATTCACGACGACGAGGGCGGTATTTTATTGTTAATGGTCCGGCATGCATTGGAGCTCCCGATTCATTGGAGGGTTCAAAGGCCAAATGCAAGATGGTTCATCGAACAAGTCTACGAGAAAAGTCAACACGTGAACCCTATTCTACTCGAGCTTGCCAAACTCGACTTTAACATCGTTCAATCGACTCATCAACAAGAACTCAAACATCTCTCTAGGTAGGTTAATTATTTAGATCTTGACTAACTAACTCGTCCGAAACTATATAGTTATTAATTTTAATTTTAATTTGTATTTATTATGCAATATATATATATATATATATATATATATATATATATATATATATATATATATATAGTTGGTGGGAGCAAACGGAGCTTGCAAAAACATTGCCGTTTGCGAGGGATAGGCTTGTCGAGAATTACCTATGGACCATTGGTGGGCCGATCGAGCCTCAATATGGATATCAAGAATG